TTTTTTTTAATACAATTTAATTTCGCGGCATGTAATTATGGGAAAAACATTCCATCGATCAAGATTTCGGTACAAAACCAGTCTTAGGTGGTGGACCGACGGGTTTACTGGATATAGGCACTGTAGGGTCTACGCCCATAACAGATGACGTTCCTATATGACTTCCACTGGGTGACAAGGCAGCCGGTAAATTCAAAGACGGAGAAGGAGATACTCTCTCAATTGACATTGACTGCTGAGGAAGTTGCGCGTCGGTCTGAATACCTCTAGATCCATATATTTCCTTCAATATCAAAAGCATAGTATCTTCAGACTCCCTGTAGAAACGAATCAAATTGTAAACAAGTACGTAGCGTGCATACAATGCATAGTGTTTCCCTCTCAAGAAGTGCACCACTTACCAGTAACAGATATGGCTTGTAAGAGCGAAAAGATATTCATTAATGTATTCGAAAGGCGCTTCTTGAAGAACGTAATCTATTCTTCGACCACCATTAAGTATTCCTATTTTTAAATTGGCACCACCATCGTCGTTGTTATGTTGATCTGGTACGCTCGGCGGTTTTTGCAATTGCTCCTCGACGACTTTATCGATCTCGCGTTCGAGAGCTTGGTTGTCTGGTTTGTGAAATACGGCTAGCTGATAGAAGGAGTTCCACGTTTGCCTTACGGAATCAATTAATTTTTGTTTCAAATCCGCTCCGACACGTGCCATCGTTTCCTTTAATTCTGTAAATCATTAATATTAATAACCGCATAAGATATTCAATCTAATAGTTTGTAAATTATCATTATCAGACCGTATCTCGCGCGTATTCTCAGAAACCAACAATTTGTACTCACCTAAATGCATCCTCTTCCTGCCTTTGTGATGTGGTATCAGCATAGGTCGGAAATTGCTGGCTTCGGGATTAATTAAGGATTCCACTCGATAAGCTACCGGATCAAACGGATGGAAGATATTGAAGAAAGCCGGACAAGTAGGCAGAAAGAAATTTTCGCCGAGAGTGTCGATGCCTCGGATCGTTACGAACATGCCAATCGGACTGCCGAGAGCAAAGAAGGCACCTGGGTGAAAATTAAGTTGCGGATAATGTATGTAAGGTTGGCCTGTACCCGCAGCTCCCATTACATAACTAATTTTCCTACTGAGACGCCTCTTAATAACGGCTGCGGGCATTGGCGTAATGGGCCTAATACTGTCATTTTCCTGTAATTGCAATAAAAATTTTAGTGTCTATAAATATAAAAAAAAATGAATTTTTAAGTTTAATTATAAAATCAAATTATACCCTCTAAATTTTCTGGAGTGAAACTCACTCCAGAGAAGTGAAAGTTCACTCCAGAAAATTTAGAGAGTAAAATAAATATAATAATGTGCAATTTTATTTGAGATTTTTTATCGTTACTCACTTCCTTATTGTCCACATTTTCATCTTCTTTTTCGGGTGTTTGATGGCACAATAGATCAAACATGATCAAACTGCCCAATGAATGACCTCCTAAGAATATTTCTCCGTCAAAAG